GTGCGATTCGGGATCTCCCCAGCCCCCTCATAGTGGCGGGCAGCTCGTACGAGCGGGGCTGGCCTGCCAAGAAGGGAAGGAGAAAGGAGACATGGAGCCCAGATGGGGAAGATGGCCTCGGTTTGGAGCCCTCACTGCCCTGGTGACCTGAGGGTGTCTCACCTCTCTCTGGGCTTCCACCACCCCGCCCACTTCCCAGGATGCCTGGGGCCTCTCAAAGGGCTCTGCTTCCACCAGCACCCACCTGCTCAACCACTTGCCCCTCTCCTGGGCGAGTGCCTCCACGCCCCCTGCCAGGTCCCCACACTCCAGGTGGGAGAAGGGCCGCATCCACTCGGGGTTGGCAGCCGGCCCACTCCGTAAGCCTCCCTGGCCCTCTGCCATGCAGCCCAGCACGTCCGCCACACAGGCCAACGCCCGTGCCGCCACGCCAGGGTCTTCTGCCCCAGCTGCAACTGAGGGAGCAGGAGTCAGGGTGACAGGCAAGGGGACCACCCCCCAGTGCCCTCTGCCCCTAGAGATTACCAAACGGTCCCCACACACTCCCAGCCCCTCACACCTCCTGGGTTTTGTCTAAGACATACTGTTTCCTTGGAAAGAACCCCCACTCTCTGCCTGGCCCAGTTCTCATCCTGCCGCCCCAGCCCAAATGTGCCCCTTCCCTCCACCCCAGGGTGCCCACACTGGTAAAGTGCTCAGGCTCAAGGGTCACACCACGTGGGTTCAAGCTGCCACCACCCAGGACAAACTAGCTATGTGGCTGTGGGTAACTGATGAGGATGACATCCCACGGTCCCAGGGCCATAAATGAGATGCCACCTATGAGACTATGGCGCTGAACCACTCAGCATGCCCAGACCTCAGGCAGAGCGGGCCACAGCCCCACATCCTGGCGCCCAGTACAGAGTGTGCAGGTTTGATGAGGGCGGTTAGGACCCAGTCACTTGGCCACTAGGCCTTAGCCTCTGACCAAATTCCCCACTGATAGGTGAAGCTTCCAGAAACCTAACAGTAAACTCCGAGGTGTCCCTTCCCAGTGTCAGTCTCTCACGGCTCTCTAGTCCCCTCGGGTAGGTGTCCCAGAGGGCAAGTACAGCAGATGACCCTGGTCTCACTCCCTGGCTCTAACACCTAGCATACTTACCCTGGTCCAGCGTGGCCAGCAGGGGACCGGGGCAGCCCTCCCGGACAGCAGCCTGGATCAGTGGGCGCAGGCTTAGGTCCTGCCGGGTCTCCAGCACGTGCTGCGCCTTACGCAGGGCCTGGCGGAAGAACAGGTCCCGGCGGGAGGCCAGCGTGGCAGCCCGGTCCAGGCATGGCTGCAACTGCTCCCAGGACAGGCGCCAGGAGGCTCGCCAGGCCCGCAGGGCCTCACCCCCATCCTCCTGGGCCTCCAGCATCCACAGCATGTCCCGGGGCCCCAGGGCCCTCGAAGCGTGAAGTACAGGGAACAGGCGGGCACTGTGGAGGCGACGCTCTGCCGGGGGTGTGTCTGGGTCCCACAGGTCCCAGTCTCTGACGAGGAGAGAGCCACATGAGCCAGAGGGAAGCTCGGGCTCCTACCTCCTCCCCAAGGCCTGACCCTGTCAGTTCATGGGGACAGGACAAATTCCCATATGTGACACACTGAACCATTGCCTGTCCCCTTTCCCAGAGCACCCAACGAAATCCCAAAGTCGTAAGGAGATTTGGAGCAGCCGGGGAAGTGCTGGAGGGAATCAAGCCGTCCCAAACACCCCAATGGATGGTCAGGGAGCCGCTGCTGCCCCGGGGGCAGGGAGGGTAAGACTGAAGCCCCAGCTGCACAGGCCCAGAGGCCCGCCGGGCATCACCTTACCGGACACCTGTCTTCTTGAAGAACTCCTCCCAGGACATGTTGAGAAACGTGCCTGCTCCCTGTCTCTGGGGTTAGAGGAAGAAGCAGTCAGGGCTGCTGGAGCCATAAGACGGGGCTGGGGACACTAGGCCAGAGGGCTGGGAGCTGCTTAACGGGGGACAGGAAGAGAGACACGAGCACACGCTCCAGCAAGCTCAAATGTGGCTTCAAGCCCTGGAGCCTCAAGGTCTGCTCAGGAGCGTAGAATTTGGTGTGGAACCCCAGGAGCCCTCCACACTGGCTCTGCAGCCCAGGGCCACTCACCCTCTCCCTGAACCTGTCTCCAGCCTGTAACACAGGGATAAATCTCCACCCAGCCCGGCGCGTGCACCAGGACGAGAACAGGGCGGTAACGGCCCGCTGAGACGCCATCCTCCAGGCCAGAGCTCAGAGCGCTGCAGTGGGACACAGGCCAGGACCGCTGGGACTCCCCAAAGCTCGAAGATGAGGGTGAGAAGGTGTAGGGTAGGCACCTACCTCCCAGTTGTCCAGACGGCCAAAAAGAGTGAAGGCACGAGCCGGGGCGCCCTGGAGCTGCACATGATGTCCCTGCAGGACGAGGTCACGCATCTCTAGGCCACGCAATGCCTCGGACTGTGCCACATCCAGGCCGCTCACAAAGCAGCCAGTGCCGATGTGGATAGGGCCCTGGCAGGGGAGAGGACAGACAGCCTGAGCGGACAGTCACCCAGGCACACCCCCCAACCCAGGCTGCCCTCGTCCCTCTCCGCCCCTGCCCGTGCTCTTAGGCCTCACCCGCAGGTAGCAGTGCTGCAGGACACTCCCAGGACCCAGTCGGACTGGGCCCTCTAGCAGGCAGCTGATTACAGAGCTCCCAGGCCCCAGGAGCTGCGGCTCCTGTGAAACCAGAGAGGGAAGCCGTGAGGGCCAAAGACTCCAGCCCTTCCCCAGCCCAGCCGCTGGTGCAGGACCTCCAGGCCTGCTGCTCCTAGGCCCTGGGCCAGCCAGATCCCCCTCAGGACCCACCCTGGCCCTGGCTTGAGGTCTACACTCATCCCACCTGGAGGGCCACCTCTGAACCCCCACCTGCCCCTTAGCTCCATGTCACTAGCCCAGATCTGTCATTTCAGACAGACCTGTCCTCGTGCAGCCTCTGCAGGAAGGGCTTCCTTAGCTTCTCAAGCAGGCAGACCTCACGCAGAAGCCTGACTCGGCCGTGTCCTGACTCCATGGGATATAACACCTGGGCTCCCCAAGCCTGGGCCCATACTCCCCGGACCCCAGGGACCACAGGCAGGTCTCACCTCCACCTGTGAGTGCACCGTCTGGGCCCCGGGTCCCCCAGGGAGTGTGAGGCTGCGCAGGAATTCACTGGCCGAGGAGGTCAAGTAGCTGTAGCTGCCATTGGGGACATAGGCTGTAAAGACATGAGCACTGACCCAACCCCAGGCCTCGCCGCTGCGGTGCCAGGCCAGCCTCCCACCCACAGACATTGGGAGGGCGGCCTGGCAACAAGCCCGCCCAGCCAATGGGCCTTGGCCACCTGCTTGAAGTCATATAGCTAGAAAGTAGCAGACTGGACAGGAGTCCAGAGATGAGACAGAAAAATGAGAGGATCGGGCTGGCAGGTGGTAGTTAAGAGTACTGGACTCCTGGGACCAGCAGCTGGCATAATGGCTATATTACTGGACTCCCATGTAGTTGACTGTGGTTCAAGTCCCAGACAAGGTGGCTTATACTCACACCGGGTGCGTGTGCGTTTGTACCCAAGATCCCAAGAGGAGAATGGAGGAGAAGGGACTGTGGCGTGGCCATCCCCCCGGGGGGGTGATATAGAGACAGAAAGCAAGAAATCACCCCCCAGAGGGGATGGTCACACCGCAATCCCTTCTCCTCCATTCTCCTCTCGGGATCTTGGGCATGCACGCACACGCATCTGGCGTGAGTTTTAAGCCACCAGGTCCAGGACACAAACTGCGGTCGACTACATAGGAGTCCAGTGACATAGCCATTACACTAACTGCTGGTTCCCTGTCTCTGTCATGCACCCTATAGCAAAAAATTCTCCCCAAAAAATAATTAATTAATTAAAGTTAAACAAAAAATTCTTTTAAAAAAAAGAAAGAAAAATGACAGAGAGTTCTCTCAGCGGGAGGGCTCTGACTCAGGAGGGGTAGTTGTCAGTCAGGGACCGGCTGCCTGGCCCAGGACACAGGCAGCAGCCCCACCCTGGGGTCTTCACTCCCACAGTCTCCCTCTCCAGGTAGCCGAGAGGCAGTACCCACCCAGGCTGGTGGCGAAGCTCCCTCCACAGCTGGGCCCGGGCATCCTGCAGGTGACCTGTGACACCAGCATCGCCTTGCCCCACCTCCGGCGGCCGCCCCACCAGGAAGTTCTCCCGGCTCACATGCCGAGCCATGCAGAGAAGGACGTCGAAAAACAGGGACAGCTGGGACCGGGAAAGAAGCACTGCTAGTGGTGGGGACCAGGCTGGGCTGAGCTGGGGTGGTCCCATCTGCAGAGGTGCTGACCCAGAGAGGAGAAGGGGGACTGGCCTGAAGCCACAGCACCTCAGCCCTAGGCTAGGGCCACCCAACCACCCCCTCAGTCACCTGGACAGGCCGGGCTCCGGAGTCCAAGCCCATGTAGGTGCAGGCGTCCAGGGGTGGGCTCACGTGGGTGGCCAGGAGGTGCTCGGCGGTCTCCACAGAGAAGAAGACGACCCCAGAGACCTAGGGCGATCCCCAAAAGGGCCAGGCCCAGACATGAGTCAGGGAGGGCACGTGCAGATAGGCCATGCGAGGCCGGGTGTCATTCCAGGCAGGGACTAGTATTTTCTGAGCCATTCCAGCACCCACACCCTTACTACTCACGGGGGTAGCTCCCACCAACGCGCCTTCTGGGACAACCCCCCCTTTAACTTCCAGAACTCTTCCCAAACCCAGTTCTCCACCTTCCGCACCACTCCTGTCCTCGTCCTTGACTCAGAGCAGCCCGAGGCTGGTTCCAGACGTCCTCCCAAGCACATCCCCGCCCTGCCCTCATCTGCTTCTCGGCTTTCCGGCTCAGGACAAGAACTCGAAAGCCCCTCTGCAGCCTTTCTCCACTTGCTCCCTGGAATGCCAGTTCCAGACCTCCCTCAGGTTCTGGTTTTGGCCTGCCCTGGAATCTTCTAGAAGGAGTGGGACTGTGCCATGGGCAGGAAGGCAAATCTTTCCTCCCCCACCCTATAGGGTCCCCATCTTGGACCCAGCAGCCGTACCAGCGGCACCCGCCCATCAGGCCCGACACACCGCTGAATCTCCGCGTCAGTGCCCTGGTAGTAAATGTCCAAGACGAAGCCCTGTGTGGGAGAGGCAGGGTCAGGGCGGGGACCGGGGGACCGGGAGCAAGGCACAGCTGAGGAGCCAACGGGGTGCTTTCCAAAGGAGCAACCAGGATGCAAGCCTGGCCGGAACCAGTGCCCGTGGGGACGCAATCGCCAGATGTGCCCTCGGCGATGGCCTCCTTGTGGTCACTGTGAAATGCATCTTTGGCAAAAGGTAAGAGGTGAGCACCAGAGCTGTGCTGTGGGGGAACTCCTCGGACCCAAGCCCATGCCAGAGAACCCAGGACAAGAGGCTGCCCGAGTGCAGAGCTGGAAGGCCACCCAAGGACCCAGCAGCCCGCACCACCACCCCAAGGCACTACCTGGGAGTCGGCGAGGTAGACTCCGTGATTCTGGGCGTAGGCTGGACTCCCTGGAAGGGCAATTGCTCTGGCTCCCCGGAAGCCCTCCCAGCTGATCCCTGTGGAGTAGGGCAGTCAGGAGGCTCCGAGGGGCAGAAGGAAGGGAAAGCCCGGGGCTAGGGCATCCGGCACCTCTAACAGCAAAGTGAGGTCTCCAAAGCCATAATGGATTTTCCTCTGGGAGAAGGACAACCCCTCCTCTCCCTCCACGAAGCCCAGTGGGGCAGAGGGGCAGGCTGGATGTGTCCATCCTACAGGTAGACTGAGGCCCACCCACCAGGGAAGTCCCTGCCTCTTGGTCTGGGCTACATTCTCCACACCCTGCAGCTTCCCTTCTGAATTAGGGCAGAGGGGCAGGCCCAGAGGCAGAGGTGAGGAGCCGGGACCAGAAAGGCCCAGCTGGCCTCTCACTGTGGTGAGGGAGGCAGCCCCGGGCCCTCAGCTCACCGGGATTCGGAGGAACAGACAGCAGCATGTCAGTGCTGCAGACCCACACGCCTGGCGGGGAGCCTGGGCCCAGCTGCATCAGGAGAGAAAGAAAGAGAGGAGGGAGCTGGTGGCCTGGCCCCTTCCTCTGTCTCTCACAGCTCAGTCTCAGCCCATTCCAGCAGCCACCTTGCCCCAGGAGATGCCTTTGCTAGGTCCCCATGATGCCACCCCCACCCCTCACCTGGACCTGGGACGACAGCATCCCCTAAACCGCTCCTGCTGGGACCCCACCTCCCCCGCATCTTAGCCACCACAGACAAGGGCTGGCGGAGTGCACTAAGAGAGGAGTTGGCTGTGGCTGGGACCAGGCTTGTGGGCCACCATCCAGCCTCACCCGGTGGGTCATGATGTCCAGCAAGCAGTCCAGGTTGCAGACCAAGGCTTCCACAGGGGCCTGGGGGTTCTCTACAGGGAGGCAGGTGAAGGCCCGGCCACAGTCATCGAAGGGGAAGTCTCGGCCCTGGAGTGGAGCAGGGACTCTGCAGAGTCTGCCTCCACCTGGGGACACTCGGGGAGGACAGCCCAGGGCACCTCAGCTTGCAAGAGCAAAAGCCATCAAGTAGAGGACTTATAAAACGTTCTCTTGCTATCTCCTCTGACAGTTTTCTAAATTAACATGATCGTTGTAAAAATGAGGAAATGTAAATGCATACAAAGAGAAAGGGTCCCTCGGGAACACTAAACACTGCCCTCATGTAGAGGGGTACCCTCCTAGGCTTTTATTCATACACTCCTCAATTTTTCTCAGATTTGCCAGAGGATGCGCACACTCCCATGTGAGACAGAACGGGGCACCGGGGGAAGTGATCCCTGAGCACGGTCACACTACGATCCCTTCTCGTCCCTTTTCTCCACACTGTCAGCATTTGGGGTATGCACACATACATGCACAGCGTGTTTTTCAAGCTGCCAGGTGCAAGACTTGAACCAGGCAGTGGGCCGCAGAGCCAGATGAATCTTTCAACCTGTCTAATTTTCTACCAGGACGATATTCCATGTATATTTAGCCAGTTCCCAATTTTTGAACATCTGGATTTGTGCAATGAACATTGGTCAGTATACACGCAATGGTGCAACACCCCTGAAGTCCCGCCCAGCCCTGGGAATTGTGGATCCGGCCTTCTGCATGGCCCCCGCTTACCATATGCAAGATGAGGATCCAGGCTGAGTGCAAGACGTCCGATGTAACCACCTGTCGGGGTGGGACAGCCCTGTCGGCACAGGCCTCAGCAGCCCTGCCCCTCCTGGAGGAGGAGGCCCAGCAGTCCTCCACCTGGGCTACCTGCCTGCTCTATTCTGAGAGGAGACTGCGGGCAACAATGCTGGGTGACTCAGAGGAAGTCACCTCCATATCCGTCACACAGAGGTCCCGCCCCCGCCCCCGCCAATGCCACCTCCATCGTCAGAACATGTCCACACTTGGGACCGCCTCACAGAGCAACTCCCAGCCAGGTGCTATGCAGACCAGGGACCGAGTGAGGCAGGCCAGCACATGCAGACACGGGCCAAGTGGGGACACTGACGCCGGGACCCTGCCCACAGGGGCAGCCACATCTCAGATCCAGGGAACAGGTGCCATGTGGGAATGAGAACCGGGAGTAGGGAGTAGCAGGCCCTCTGAACTGCTCAGAGAAGCCAGGAAGCCACTCTCTGGGATACGGCTCGGGCTTTGGGACACGAAACACGCCCCCCTAGACCTCTGAAGAAAAGCAAGAAAGCCACTCTCTGGGATACGGCTCGGACTTTGGGAAAACGTTCTAAGAGCTGGCCTGCCTCCGGCCCTCATCTGGACAAGGCAGAGCTGAGTCAGTCCAGTTTGCAGACATAGGAATGGCAGCCGAGGGCCGCCTTGGTGAGGGTGACAGCGCCAGAAGAGGGGATCTTGGAAAGGCTCTGGCTCCGACAGGACACAGGCCGAGGCGGCATGCGCAGGCACTCACGGTGAAGCCCGAGCGGGCACTCAGGTGCTCAGCAGCCACCAGCAGGGCGTTCAGGGTGGCTCCACCACTGCCCACACGCGTCTCGGGATCCTCCACGGCCAGCAACAGCGTCGCCGGGGGGATTTGCTCACGCTTCTGCCGCAACTCCAGCTCTGGGATCAGAAAAGTGCGAGGGTCTGCCTCTGGTCACCCTGCCCTGGTCCAAAGCAGCTGAGTAGGCTGACTGATGGTTATTTCTTTATCTTCTTCAACCTAATGGCTTTTCCTTCTTTCTTTTAAAAAGAATTATTTTATTTAACTTTATATATTTTAATTTGACCAGAGAGGGACAAAGTGAGAGCGAGACAAAAAGAGAGAGAGAAAGTGAGAAAGTAAGCAGCCAGGTCCAGGACTCGAACTGCATTTGGCTACATGGGAGTCCAGCGTCCTTAGCCGCCATGCCGCCTGCTGGCCCCCACCTAATAGTTTCCCTTTATTTTTATTTATTTATTTATTTATATTTTGGGGAGGGTTTTGCTATAGGGTGCATGCACTCACTAGGCAGGAAGAGAGAGAGAGAGACAGAGAGATAGGAAACAAGAAGTCACCCACCCCGGGGTGGGGGGGATGGCCACACCACAATCCCTTCTCCTCCATTCTCCTCTCGGGATCTTGGGCATGCAGGCACATGGACCCAGCGTGAGTTTAAGCCACCAGGTCCAGGACTCAAACTGCAGTTGGCTACATGGGAATCCAGTGACATAGCCATTACGTTAACTGCTGGTCCCATCCCTTAATTTTCTTTTTTTTTTTAGATTTTGCTTTAGGGTGTGTGCACTCACTGGAGAGAGACAAAAAGAAAGAGAGTGAGAAAATACCCCCAGGGGATGGTCATGCTGTAATCCCCTCGCTGTAATCCCTTCTCCATTCTCCTCTTGGGATTTTGGGCATGCCTGCACACGAACCCAGCATGTTTTTCAAGTCTTAAGGTCCAAGACTCAAACCACAGTCAACCATGGGGTATCTAGCCACCTTAACTACCAGGCCATCAGCTGGTTCAAGCTTAGTAGCTTTTCATGTATTAGCTCATTAGATGTTTTGGGGGGAGGTTTTTGGAGAGGTTTTCGCTATAGGAAGTGTGCACTCCCAGGAAAGACAGAGAGAGACAGAGAGACAGAAAGTGAGAAATCACCCCCCAGGGGGGATGGTCACACCGCAATCCCTCCTCCTCCATTCTCCTCTCAGGATCATGGGCATGCACACACATGTGCCCAGTGTGAGTTTAAGCTATCTGGTCCAGGACTCGAACAGCAGTCGACTACATGGGAGTCCAGCGACCTAACCATTATACCATCTGCTGGTCCCAAGCTCATTAGATCTAGACCTGGCTCTGGGAGGTAAGTACCATTACTCCAACTTACAGATGAGAAAACTGAGACACAAGGAAATTATATGCCGTGTATGAGATCACACAGCTGAAAGAAGTGGGTTTGAACTCAGGCCTGCCTGGCTGCTAGGGTATAGAGATACATTAATAGCACGGGAGGGGAGGAGTCCTACACAAGGAGAGAGGGGCAGAGGGGAGCGCCTACCTCTCTGAAAGACCGAGACGCTGTCCTTGTACTGGCATGTCAGGATGATGACCGTCCAGTCAACCCCCTTCAGCGGCTCCATTCCTGAGGCGGGGACATGAGCATATGCGAACGCTTTGTAAATTATCATACACCACAGGTAATTCTTCTGGGTATGCAGATGCATGAATTTTAACACGTGTGTAGATTCTGGTGGCCACCACCATATACCCCAATAACTCCCTCATGCTACCCCTTCTCTGTCCCTAACCTGACAACCACCAATCTGCTCCCTGTAGCTATAGTTTTGTTTTTAAAGAAGTATTTATTAGATTTTACTATTATTACTATTATTAATTTGCTATAGGGCATGTATACTCACCAGAGAGAGATGAGAAAGAGAGAGAGAAAGTGAGAACATAGGCTGCAGGTCTAAGACTCGAACTGCAGTCGGCCATGTGGGAGTCCAGTGCCTTCACCACCATGTCACCTGTGGTCCCCTGTAGCTATAGTTCTGTCTTTTCAGAATAACCAAGTAGAGGGACCAGCAGCTGGTGTAATGGCTATGTCGCTGGACTCCCATGTAGTCAACCATGGTTCAAGTACCAGACCCGGTGGCTTAAACTCACACCGGGCACAAGATCCCAAGAGGAGAATGGAAGAGAAGGGATTGCGGTGTGGCCATCCCCCCTGGGGAGTGATTTCTCGCTTTCAGTCTCTCTGTCTCTCTGTCTTTCTGGCAAGCGCATGTGCCCTATAGCAAAAAACTCTCAAAAAAAAAAAAAAAGAAAAGAAAAGAATAACCAAGTAGGGCCAGCTGGTGGCATGTTGGTTGAGGTGACTGGATCCCACATGGCTGACTGTACAGTTTGAGTCCCCAACTTGGTGGCTTGAAAAACAACGCTGGGTGTGTGTGCATGCACACCCAAAATCCCAAAAGGGATTGTGGCATGGCCATCCTTCATGGGGGTGGGGGGATGATTCCTCACTTTCCTTTTCTCTCTCTCTCTCTCTGGTGAGCACACATACCCTCTGGCAAATAAAAACAAAGTCAAATAAACAGAATATAATCTTTTAAAGTTAGCTCTTTCATCCATCAAAACACCTCTGAGGTGCAACCAAGTTGTTGCCTGTTATCACTAGCCTGACCCTTTTCCTCTGCAGAGCAGAATTCCCCTGCATGGACGTACCACAGTCTGTCTCTCCATTCATCCACTGAAGGACAGCTGGGCTGACTCTGGTTTTTGTCAATCATGAACAAAGCTGCTGTAAGCTTTCGGGTGCAGGCTTGTGTGAATATAAGACCATTTCTCTGAGTGGACACAAGGGAGTGGGATTCCTGGGGCACATGGTAAATGTATGTGGACATTCTTTTTTAATTAATTATTTCTTCTTCTTCTTCTTCTTCTTCTTCTTCTTCTTCTTCTTCTTCTTCTCCTTCTTCTTCTTCTTCTTCTTCTTCTTCTTCTTCTTCTTCTTCTTCTTCTTCTTCTTCTTCTTCTTCTTCTTCTTCTTCTTCTTCTTCTTCTTCTTCTTCTTCTTGGATGGTCACGCCGCAATCCATTCTCCTCCATTCTCCTCTCGGGATCTTGGGCACGCACGCACACGTGCCCAGCGTGAGTTTTAAGCCACCAGATCCGGGACTCGAACCACAATCGACTACATGGGAGTCCAGCAACATAGCCATTACGCTAACTGCTGGTCCCATCTTCTTATTATTTTTAATTTGACCAGAAGAGACAGAGCAAGAAGGAAAGTGAGAAAGCAAGCTGGCAGGCCTGGGATCTGAATGGCGGTCGGCCATGTCGGAAGTCCAGCCACCACACCACCTGCTGCATCCTTTCTTTTTTAAGTTTATTTTCTTTCATGCATGGTAGAAAGCATGTGTGCGCTTTTAGAGAGAGAGAAAGAGAGAGAAGCGCCTTCAACAGTGTCACATAGTGCCACGATCCCTTCTAGTAGCCCTCCAACTCCAGATGCCGGGCGTGCATGAGTGCACCAGGGCTGTCTTCCAGATAAGTCTGGGCTCTAGACCTGTGGTCAGCCATGTTGCTTCTAGCACTGCAGCTCAGTCTGTTACTAGCTGTGCCACCAGGCTGGATCTGCTCTCATTCTATTGGGTCATCAGAAAAGTCATGATGCATTTTTGCGTAGAAATACATAGAAAAATATGTCATGACTTTTTCAACAACCCAGTAAAATTTGGGCGCAGGACCAGCAAGTGGCATGGAAGTTAGGGCAGCTGGACTCCCACACGACCAACCGCAGTTCAAGTCCCAGACCCGCCAGCTTGAAAACCATACTGGGCACATGTGCATGTGTACCTAAAATCCAAGAGGAGAATGAGAAGGGATTACAGTGTTGACATCCCACCTTGGGGATGATTTCTCACTTCCCCTCTTTCTCTGCCTCTCGTGAGTGCACCCACTCTGCAGAAAAAAAAAAGGGGGGTGAGTATGATTTCCTGGGGACTGTGCTCAGGGACAGGAAGTGAAGGAAGCAGGACAAGGTAGATTGTTGCTCCCCCCACAAGCAAGGAGCTACCCTTCCCGTATGACCATCCCCTCCTCATTCGACCACTGGCTCTGAGCTGCTAACTTCCCAGGCTGCTTTGACTGAAGATGCTTCCCCAAAGGGGTCAGCTGTGGGGGCCAGTACACACACTGTGAGCTGGAGGGGGGTGACAGCTGCTCAAGGGGATCCAGAGACTCAAAAGGCCCTCCCCTCCAGAGGGCCCAAGACAGAAGGGACAGAGGCCCTCCCTACAGCCTTCTTCCTCCAGGGCACTCTGGGCAAGTCGGAAAAGGGAAGCCAAAGTGATGGACCCATCCCCACCCACGCTCCTCCCAGATGGGAAACCAGTCTGACTCCAGAGCCCCTGGGCTCCCCAAGACCACCTGTAGATGAACCCCCAGGCCTGCCCTGGCATCTACCTCCCATGAAGCAGCCCACCCACCCCTTCTTCCCCATGCTCCCCAAAGCTCAGACGGTCAGAGCAAGCAGATGCCACCACCCCAGATGTGCCCCGGGCATGCCTGCAGCAACCAGCCCACGCCCCAGCCAAAAGCAGACAGGAAACCTGCACTTCAGTAAGTTTCTTGTGCCAGACTCTGCTGCCACCAAGCTCATGGTTACAGCCAACACGACACCACCACTTAGCGACACCCACGCTCCCTGAGCTTTCAGGAAAAGCCTCCGTCAACCACAGAAACTGCTCTGTTCCCTGCTCAGGAGGTGAAATCCAGAGGGCCTGAGCTGCAGACTGTGGGCCAGCACTGAGGACAGAGGTTCACCCCGAGAGTCCACCTGGCTTTCTTTGTGAAGTGGAGAGAAGGCCCTGGTCACCAACTCACAGCATGACCTTAGGCACCCTAACCCTCTCAGGAGTCCTGCAGTAGTACGTACAATTGACAGGTATCCCCAGCTGCTGAGATTTGCACCCCACTTGGTTCTCACAAGGCCATGCTCCCTACCAGCTAGCCACTCCCAACCAGCGACTGGGTGCAGAGGGATACTGAGGCAGGCACATTCCTTCAAGACGAGATTTCTCTGACAGGCACCTTTGGCTGCCAGACTCCCCATCAACCAAGCTAGCGCTGTCTTAGAATGCACTGTGCCTGGAGTCTTCTATGCCCACTCTCCTTCCGGGGCAGGCTCCTGAACAGAGGCCAGACCTGGACTGCAGCCCACAGCTCTCCCAGCCTCTCTGGCACCCTCCCCCCTTTCTTCCCCAAGAAACTCTTGCTAAGGTCCAATCACACCTTAGCATCTGCTTCTCTGAGTCCCCAGACTAACATAGGGAATAAAATATCAGTCCTTTCTTGGCACCTCAAAGAGAAAACTGGGCCAGCTGCAGTGGCGCAGCGGTAATGCAATTCTCTGCAATGCAAAGACTGCATGGAAGGCTCTAGGTTCACGGCCCGAGGTCTCCCTGTGCACACTGGGCATTTGTGCATGCTGTGATCTTGGTTGGCTGAGCCAGGTGTGGGGTCTGGCATGGAGACCTAGTTAGGGTGCCCCCCCCTCTCTCTCGGAAGAAATTAATGAATAAGCTTAAAAAAAAAAAAAAAAAAACTAAGTAAAAGTATTTAGTGGAAGGCCAGCAGGTGGCATGGTGGTTAAGACACTGGAGTCCCACATGGCTGTAATTCGAGTCCTAGACCCGGTAGTTTGAAAATCATGCCAGGCGTGTGTGTGTGTGTGTGTGTGTGTGTGTGTGTGCATGCACACCCAAAATCCCAAGAGAAGAATGGAGGAGAAGGGTCTGCAATGTAGCCATCCACCCTGGGGGGAGATTTCTCTTTCCCCTCTCTGTCTCTCTCTGGTGAGTGCACATACCTTATGGCAAAATTTTAAATAATTTTAAAAAGCAAATAAGAAATGTCCTGGGCTGGCAGGTGGGGTGGTCCTTGGGGGCGCTGAATTCCCACATGGCCGACCGCCTTTCGAGTCCCAGACCTTGTGGCTTGCTTTCTCGCTTTCCCTTTCTCTCTCTGTCTCTCTCTAGTCAAACTGAAAAGTAATAATAACAAATGGAGTTAAATAAAGAATTTTTTTTTCCGGGCCCGTGTGCGTGCATGCCCAAGATCCCGAGAGGAGAATGGAGGAGAAGGGATTGCGGCGTGACCATCCCCCCGGGGGGTGATTTCTCGCTTTCTGTCTCTATGTCTCTCTCTGTCTGTCTGGCGAGTGCATGCGCCCTATAGTGAAAATCTCTCCAAAAAAAAAATAAAGAATTTTTTTTAAAAATGTCCCAAGGAGAGTCCAATGGCCCAGAAAGTAAGCCAGTCTTAGTCTCAGCATAGTGATAGAGGGACAAGGGCGGATGACAAGTCATGACCCTAACAGAAGGGCATCTCCATCTGAACTAAACTTTCTAGAGACAGAGGAAGTCCTGGGCTGGGTATCAGCCCTCTAGGACTCTGTCTCCATCTCTGCCTCTTCCTGTGTGGTCCTGGGCAGATTATTTAACCTCTCTGAATCTCAATTTTCTAATCTGAAAACTAAGCCAAACATGCAAATCTCCTAGGACTGTTGTCACATTATATAACATAAAATGTGCAGCATACAATCTCCGTAAATGGTAGATCTTTCTACTTAGCTAAGGAAGGGAATGGGAGGATTAAACTAGCCCTGAGGCAGGATGAAGTGAAGACTCTAAAATACACCTAGGGGGCTAGCTGGCTGTGTGGTGATTAAGGCAGCTGACCCCACATCTAAGTTCGAGTCCTGAACCTGGCAGATAGAAAAACACATGGGACATGTTTGTGTATATGCCCAAAATCTCCAGGGGAGAGCAGAGAGAAGAGATTGCAGAGGGGCAATCCCATTTCTCACTTACTTTATCTTTCTCTCTCTCAGAGCACACACGCCCTACAGCAAACTAAAAACGTATCCTTTGGGTCAAAGATGATCTTGAAAAAGAAAAAAAAAAAAAAAAAGAAAGAAAGAAACAAAAACAGAAAAACAGTGGAAGTCTGGAGAAAACAAGCAAGGTTGGGCGGGTAGCCCATGCCAGATCAACCCAGAGTATTCTTCAGTAATACCAAAGGGGATGGGCCCAGCCTAGTGGCCTAGTCAACAGCAAACTAAAATGCAGTGCTGGAAGACACATGCTGACCAGGGGTTTGGATCCCAGGCTGGGAGTGTGTGCATGCCCAATATCCTCATGAGCCCCTGGAGGATTGAGGAAAAGAGACCCCAATGCGATGAGGCCCTGAAGAGGGTGCTTCTCCCCTCATCCTTCTCTCGGGAGCATGCACCTGCTCTCTGTCATGAATAAGATAAACTCATTTAAAAGGTGGAATGATACTGGTAGCTCGCACTTAGGTAGGGCTTTTATGGGGTATTGTGACAAGTGTACTGCAGTACCTATCATCTCCTATAGCCCAAGCCACAGCCCTGTGAGTTGGACCTTTTTTTTTTTTTTTTGAGAGAGAGATTTTTGCTATAGGGTGCGTGCGCTCGCCAGACAGACAGAGAGAGACATAGAGACAGAAAGCGAGAAATCACCCCCCAGGGGGGATGGTCACGCCGCAATCCCTTCTCCTCCATTCTCCTCTCGGGATCATGGGCACGCACGCACACGCGCCCGGCGTGAGTTTTAAGCCACCAGGTCCGGGACACAAACCGCGGTCGACTACATGGGAGTCCAGCGACATAGCCATTACGCTAACTGCTGGTTCCCTGAGTTGGACCTTTTTAAAATTATTTTATTTAACCTTATTTATTTATTTTAATTTGACCATAGAGGAATAGAGTGAGAGAGAGAGAGAGAGGGAAAGTAAGAAGGAAAGCCACCAGGTCCAGGACTCGAACTGCAGTCGGCCGTGTGGGAGTCCAGTGCCCTTAACCACCATGCCACCTGCTGGCCCCTAAATTGGATCTTGTCATATCTGCTCTACAGAGAAGGAAAGGTTAGCGTTGAC